TTCCAAGATATTTTGAATTATAAATTCACCAATAAGGTAATTTCCATGATGTTGGTTTTAATTATTATGATTGCTGGATTATTAAGGATTGTTGTTTTTGTTTTTTGATGATTATCAATAAAATTCTCCATCCTTTGCTTTATAATGTAATTTCAGTAGGAAATCATATTACTTGAGTTGTTTTCTTTGGCTTTCGTTATAGGCATCGTTTGGTTTTACAAAACAAAAAAAACCTCTTTTGCATGAGTTAAACAACCTCCGTGTAGCAGGTAAAATTATTCATTATAAATAGAATTTAATTTTATCCTAAATAAATAATGAAACTCCATAAACAAACCCAAACGAAGAATTAAGAAAACAAAAAGAACGAAGCCAAACTTAAGTTTGTAGTTGGATCCTCACACTCTTAACAATACTAGGATCACAAATTATTTGTTCAGGATGAAAACTCGCTCTTTTCAATGCGTTTTTCTTCATATGTGGAATTTTGTAGTTATTTCTCCAACTCTCATAGTTTCTTGCATACAAAGTTGCAAAGTTAAAAAAAATGATTGATCTTTTTCGTCGGGTATTCTTAAAAAACTTTTTCGACAATACTAATAAGTTCTTCAACGTTTTTAGGACATATGTTATGTTGTAAGGCTTGGTTAGCACTAAAGACTCAAGGTTATGAACATTCAAGTCTGGAGAACTTGTAGGTTGACATATCAATCGAATGTCAAAACTCAATTCAACATCAAAGACTACTATTTCGAAATTCTCGAGCGCAAAGTTATAAGAGAAGTTTTACCGGACAAAGTAAGAAAGAAGCCTAACGATGTGTGTTGTTATCTTAACACATGTGAAATATTTACCAAAATACTGTATATGTTCACCATTGTGACTTCTAGTTTCAGTTTTCTTTTGTAAGTACATCATTTGAAAAGGACAAATGAGTAAGTTTGGTCGAACATTTTGTCTATAAATAGCAATTTTTGCGTGGAACAACTAACTTCGGTATTTTAGTCATGTTCTATCGTACGACTGCATAACATTTCCATCACACACACTTACCAACATATCATTAATTCGCACTTATTTGATCCAAATTCATTGTATAATCTATGGCATTTCTGATCATTGCTAGTCACATGCAACGTCACTATCATGATTTGGCCAATGTTTATGTTTCTTATGGATGCTTAATTAATTTATCCAGCTCATTCAAAGGTTTTATTGATCTATCTACACACTATATATAATTTGTGGAATCTCTGGATAGTGATAAGTTAGAGTTAACGATGGATAACAACAAATGGAGTCTTCACGGTATGACCGCTCTTGTGACAGGTGGAGCCAGGGGAATCGGGTTCGTCTTTCTTCTATATTCTCTTATATCACATATATTTTACCATTTTTTTTTTTTTGGGTCAAATATAACATATTTTACTTAAGGTCCATATTTCAAGGAATTTATGTTTGTAGAATGTTTTAGTTATGCCATAGTAGAGGAGTTAGCTGGTTTCGGAGCTAGAATCCATGTATGCGACATTTCTGAAACTCTGCTTAATCAAAGTTTAAGTGAATGGGAAAATAAAGGATTTCAAGTGAGTGGCTCGGTCTGTGATGTAACCTATCGTCCCCAGAGAGAAAAACTTATGCAAACCGTCTCCTCGCTTTTCGATGGTAAACTTAACATTTTGGTATGTAACTTGATGTTAAAGAAACTGATCGACTTTAGCATTATATTTTTGTGGGGGAAAAACTTTTAAAGTCTCATTTTGTTCATTTTAGGTAAACAATGTGGGTGGAATTCGCCCTAAGCCGACGATAGAGTATGTGGCAGACGATTTCTCGTTCCATATCTCAACAAACTTGGAATCTGCTTATCATCTTAGCCAGCTTTCACATCCTCTCCTTAAGGCTTCAGGATTTGGAAGCATCATCTTCATGTCCTCTATTGCAGGTGTTGTATCGATGGAATGTGGATCCCTTGTTTCTCTAGCCAAAGGTAACTAAAGCCAAGACCAATTATCAAAAAGGATTTTTTTTTTTTTTTTTAGATGTTCTTTTGATATCTTTTACAGGAGCTCTGCATCAGCTAGCTAGAAATTTGGCATGTGAATGGGCAAAAGACGGCATAAGAGCCAATGCCGTTGCGCCAAGTGCTATCGCGACTCCTTCGTTGAGACCAGTAATTAAAAGAAGCAACCTTTACATTGTTTTTTTTGTTGTTGTTGTGAATATAACAACCTCAATTCCTCTAATCGTCTCTCAATTTTGTTTATTAAAGTATCTTGAGGACGTCAGTTTGAGGGAAGGGTTGTTGAGTAGAACTCCACTTGGTCGTGTTGGAGAGCCGAATGAAGTTGCATCACTAGTGGTCTTCTTGTGTCTACCTGCAGCTTCATATATTACTGGTCAAACTATTTGTATTGATGGAGGTCTCACTGTTAATGGCTTCTCCTATCAGCCACAGGCTTGAGAAATTGCCTTGTCCCGTTCTGTTTGTTTGGCTTGTCTTCTCAGTGTTTTCTCAAATAAAATCTCTCACACTAGGACTATATGAACAATATCACAATTCCATTATGGATATATATACTCCCAAAGTCCCAATGTATCTCTCATACATGAAAATGTTGTATTCCGATGTTGTGTTTAAATATTGTTATTCTCTGTTTTGTGTTTCCTGATCTTTTTTTCTTTCTTTCTGAAGTTCAACAAATACATCAAAATAACTCAGAACAATTACATTGTTTTCTTATTTTATCCACTCTATACCACACATAGAAACGTCATTAGCTAGTAACGTTTGATCTTCTTTGACTCTATATAAGTCATGTGACATCTCTGATCATTGCTAGTTCTAGTTAAAAGTAAAGATAAAAGATAAGAGCCTTTCAAGGTACAACTTCTCTTGTAACTAGTGGAGCCAGCGGAATCAAGTTCTGTCTTTTAACCTCTCTATATTTATCTTTTTTACCACGTTGTGCTTTTATTTTAGTGTCGCTTAATTTATTTTTTGTGACATATTTTAGGCATGCCATAGTTGAAGAATTAACTTGTTTAGGGACCAAAATCCATGTATGTGGCATATCCAAAACTCTGCTCAATCAAAGTTTATGCAAGAATGGGAGAAGAAAGTGTTTTAAGTGAGTGGTTCGGTTATGATGCATCCTCTCATCCTCAGAGAAAAATAATTATGCACACCGACTCAACGATGCTCGATAGCAAGCTCAAGATTCTTGTAAGTTTAAAGAAACTATAAACCGGAGATAGTAGATATCAGACCAATTTTTTTTTTTTTGTCGTATTTTAGAGATATTTCTCCTTCTTTAAATGATGTTTTACATCATTTGGATTGACAAAATCCGATTCATAACATAATCTCTACAGGAAAAGCCGCAGCGGTAGACCGTTTAAATGTCCATACATGGCACTTAATACGGTATCAATAATATTTTTGAGGGATCATTTGGCTGACATGTTATTAATTGCAGCCAGCGGTAGACCGTTTAAACGTCCATACTAGCACGATTAGTTGTTTTGTTGTTTCTTATGGCTGCTTAATGTCTCCATCAAATATTTAGACATTGTAGCTAGTAGAATGCCATCTACCTGAATCCTATATATAAGTTTGTAGATAATAATCCACATTTTTTTGGGTTAGTAGCTGATACAACGTTTATGGTTGTTATTGAGTTGGATTAATTATTTGATTGTATACCTTATATTTTAGTAGAAATTTGAAATCTTCACCATAATATTAAACAATAGAAATATACTTTACATTGGTTCCAAAATGCCATTTTTGCTCTTAATAAATATTAAAAATCAGAAAATAAAAAATAATAATAATTTAATTGATTAGTTATAACAAATGTTATTCTTAAATTAAAATCAAACTGTTTATAATAATAAAAAATTAGATACTCAAAATATTAACTAACAAATAATAATTTTTTAGGAAAACAGTTTTTAAAAATGAATCTTCTAAAATATATGTTTATTGGAAAAAGTCACATCTTTAGTTGACATATGTGTTTGTTGGGAAGATGCACAACCACATATGTATGTGTTTAGAAAGGTACCTCTTGAGATGAAGAAAAACACCCTTGGTATATTACATAAAAAGATTAATGGGTGCAGTTTTAGACACATATTACTCTATGAAGGTTTATTTCTTTGTTTTTTAGGAATTTTGTACGATTTGCGAAACAGAATTCGATAGTTGTATCATGCAATATAGAGTCGTATACTCTTATTTACATGACTATTGGCTACTACAAATTCTTTGTTGATTATGCTGCTAGATAGCCACATAAATTTTGTTAGATACTAATAATCGCCAACATTTTTTTTGCAACTTATTTTTCATGACTAAATTTTTGGTAATATTTCCATCAAAGCTTTAGTCACTATTTTTTTTTGTCATATTGGCAATGAAAAATTGTAGCTATTCTGTTGTGAAGTTTAACCATTTTTTGCGTGAAAAATTTATGTCAAAATGGTCACAAAAATTTTCGTTGCCCAAAACGTGATAATTAAAATGGTCATGAAATCGTTTGTGTTCAATTTGTGTGGCCAGTAACTCAGTAAGCAACCGATGGCCACTTAATTATTGTTTTTCTTTTCAATGGTTGTGTAAGCACAGAAATTCCCATAGCGGTTTGTGACTAAACGCAATTTACCAGGGGTTTAATTAAGTGGCTAAATTGATACATACTGATCTAAATTTTTATGCTAATATAAATTAGTTTTAATTATATAAATTTTAATTATGCGCGTGAGTACGTGACACGCAAATGGTGTACCAATATGTGGTGCACTATTAACTAAGGGGTCTTCATTATTAATTGATAAAGTCTTTCTTTACCACACAAGGATTGTCAAAAGGAAAAGTAGTATTTTCGTACTACACCCTAATTCTCACGGATATGTGTGGTCGTGCGGTCATTATCAATTTATCATAATGTGGAATTTTTGAGTTGAGAGGTTTCAAAGTTCAAAACTATCACTACTATTCTTGATCAATTCTCTATAAGATCTGTGATCTTGGTTGAAGAAAAGAATCGTCGCAGGTTGATAACAAGGAATGGCAAAGGAAGGGGGCTTGGGAGAGAACTCAAGATGGAGTCTTGGAGGCATGACCGCTCTTGTCACTGGTGGCTCTAAAGGCATCGGGTCAGTCCCCATTGTGAATCTTGACGCCCATTTTATATGCTCTTTTATTGTATTGTCATGTTTAGTTATGGAAGAACTAACTACGTATGTGTGCGTATCATCAATAGGGAAGCTGTGGTGGAGGAACTAGCCATGTTGGGAGCAAGAGTCCACACATGTGCCAGAAACGAAACTCAGCTTCAAGAACGCTTACGTGAATGGCAAGCAAAAGGGTTTCAGGTCACCACTTCTGTCTGCGACGTCTCTTCTCGTGACCAACGAGTGAAACTCATGGAAACTGTTTCCTCTCTCTACCAAGGAAAACTCAACATCCTCGTAAGTATACGTATATAAGCTTCTCCTTCTCAGGCTTGGGATCTACAAGAACCAAATCATGCTATGTCTTTTCTTGTGTCTATACATATATAGGTCAACAATGTGGGAACGTCAATATTCAAGCCGACCACAGAGTATACAGCAGAAGATTTCTCTTTTGTAATGACTACAAATCTCGAGTCAGCTTTCCATCTCTCACAGCTTGCGCACCCATTGTTAAAAGCCTCTGGCTCAGGGAGCATCGTGCTCATTTCCTCTACTGCTGGAGTCGTGCATGTCAATGTTGGATCCATCTATGGAGCAACCAAAGGTACCGTGTATATATGTACATCCTTAACACAATATGTTATCATGGGTTATGATGCTTACACATATATTTTAGGAGCCATGAATCAGCTGGCTAGAAACTTAGCTTGCGAATGGGCGAGCGATAACATAAGGACTAACTCTGTTTGTCCTTGGTATATCACAACTCCTTTGAGTAACGATGTAAGGCCAAAATTTAAAATTCGCCCTAGTAATATATGAACTAACAAAAAATACGTATTATTACTTCTGGTTTTAATTTATGTGTGAAAATCTCTTAGTTTATCAACGATGAAGAGTTTAAGAAAGAAGCGGTGCGTAGGGCACCGGTAGGACGTGTTGGAGAGGCAAATGAAGTCTCATCGCTTGTGGCTTTTCTATGTCTACCTACTGCTTCATATATTACTGGTCAGACCATTTGTGTTGACGGAGGTGCCACTGTCAACGGTCTTTCCTTCAAGACTCTGCCTTAAAACACATATATACTTACACATATATGTGTTTGGATCACATTCTCAATTATTAAACCTACGGGTTATATACATCGTCAATATGTAATAAATGTAATTTAGATGTGTCCCTATCTAAATTCGCTAAACGTATATGTCCATATGTTCTGTTTCTAAGAGATCCTTAGATATATATGCTTGCAGGGTGTCATATTAATCTTTCTCAGTAAAGCTTTCAAAGATGACGACCAAAAGTGTCTTTCTATGATTCTCTCCACACGCGTAATATTAGAATTATTTGCCACACATCGAGACTTGAAAAACTTGTGGACTAATAGATAAGTATTTGACAATTCTCCACTTTTGAACATCCTTTAGGGTGTGGGTCTAATACCAATTCGAGACCCAGTTCTTCCTCCGCTGCCTTTGTTTAGCACCGGTGGGTTGTGTTCCATAGCTTTGCATGGTTGGAACACAATGGATATTTTCAGTTTTCTTAAGTAGGTTGCTAACTGGCGTAAGGATATATGGAAAAAGAGGTTGCTTAAAGCAACATTAAGCGCAAAATAGTAAAATTCTAAGAGCACCTCTAACGGGAGATACTCTTCTTAGTATCTCAAAAAAAAATTATTATATATTTTAACCGATTTTAAATAGTTAAACTAATAGATAATTGATAACTGGTGATTTTGGTTGAGAAACGTTTCTCCTAGTTTCTCTTTTTCCTCTCTCTCCTACTTTTTATATTATTATTATTTTGGGAATGTTTATAAGTTTCATTAAACTTGATTATTTGATCTGAACTTTTTTTCGTATTTTGAATATTATTATTTCACTTCAATTATATTTTTTGTTTTAATAAATTTTAAATACATTATATTATTTTCTTATATAATTTTAGTTTTTTTTTTAAAAAATTTATTATGTTATCTCGCAAATCCGTAGCAATAATTGCGAGGATTTACAAGATTTACTTTGCGAGGAACATGTTATAGAAAATTTTTCTTGCAAAATTTGCAAGGAACTTGCAACGTTTACCGATTTGCGAGACGCGAATTGCGAGGAACTGACGTTCATCGCAAATCCCTTGCGATTGTCGATTTTCGAGAGATTAGCTAGAAATCCTTCCATCGCAAAACGCGTGTTTTCTTGTAGTATTATTTTAATATTAAGTTTCTAGTGTAGAAACGTTGATGGAGATGGTCTAAGACTTCAGTCGAGAGGAATCCTTTCATTCCTTATGAGATATTTGTAAAAATTTCATCAAACGAAACTTGTTTTACACTCAAGAAATGAAACCAAAATTAACTACTTGAGACCAAACAAAAAAAATCCAGAAACAAACTCTTATTGTGAACTTTTTTTTTTCTTTATCATTAAAACAGTCTAGAGTACCTCTTGAGTTTGATTGAATCCAAAACCTGTTATTTGGCTAAACCTGTTATTACTTACTAGCCTTTTGATTAACTTGAGAGGACTCATCATCACTTACATCATCATAGCCAAATCCTTTTTCTTTTAAATTGGAAAACGCATCATTAGTTACGTGATCATCACTTTCCTAATTGAATATTTTAACCGAAACTAATTCAGTCTTATCATTACTTTGATCTCTAATTTGTCTCAGCCAAAACGTCATTAATTACGAAATCTTTCCACAATTTCTTTGAAGATTCTCTTAACCTCGTATCATTTAGACACTATAAATAAGCCATTTTTCCATTATCATTTGTCATCAAACTAGAAGTCAAGAACAGAAACATCCACAACAATGGGTAAAGTAGAACAGAGCAGATGGAGTCTTCAAGGCATGACCGCACTTGTCACCGGCGGGACCAAAGGCATTGGGTTTGTCTTCCATTATCATATTCCAAGTCATCTTTCTTGCATTACAAGCAACAACAAAAAAAAACCTTATTTGCTTACACATATTATTATTATTCTTGGTGATTTTCTAGGCATGCTATATCTGAGGAACTCGCAGGCCTTGGGGCAACAATACATACATGTGCAAGAGACGAATCTCAGCTTAACCAGTGCTTAAAAGAATGGGAAACGAAAGGATTTAACGTCACAGGATCAGTCTGTGACATATCGTCCCGTTCCGATAGAGAGAAACTGATGCAAACTGTCTCCTCTCTGTTTGAGGGCAAGCTCAACATCCTCGTACGTCTTCTTTCTTCTCTTTTTCACCAACAAAACGTTTGAAAAATCTCATCAAATATACTTATTTTATGTGTACAATAGGTAAACAATGTAGGGACATGTGTGACAAAGCCAACCACAGAATCAACAGCAGAGGATTTCTCAAACCAAATCTCAACGAATTTGGAGTCTGCATACCATTTGTGTCAGCTTGCTCATCCTCTTCTTAAATCCTCTGGATCTGGAAGCATCGTCTTCATTTCCTCTGCTGCTGGAGTTGTCTCATGTAGCGTTGGATCCATCTATGGTGCAACCAAAGGAGCTATTTGCCAGCTGGCGAGGAACTTGGCATGTGAATGGGCTAGCGACAATATAAGAGCTAACTCTGTTGCTCCTGGAGTCATTGCAACTCCTCCAGCTAAAACTGTAAACTCTTGAAACCTATCTTTCAACAAAATTTATATTCAAGAACTAATTGGTTCCTCTTTTGTTCAGTTTATACAAGGAGAGGAGTTTGCAAAGAATATTGCACCGAATATACCAATGCGCCGCGCTGGAGAGCCAGAAGAAGTGGCTGCAATGACTGCGTTTCTGTGTCTACCCGCAGCTTCTTACGTTACAGGTCAAACCATTTGTGTTGATGGTGCTCTCTCCGTTCATGCCTTCTAAAGACTTCTACCAAGTCAATCTCTTACCAGACTAAGAGTATCGTCCTGTTCACATTCGATGGTTTTTTTTCCATTTTTAGTTGCATTTTATGTTTTGTTTCCAACCATGTGAATGGTTTATTGAATAAAAGCAATTTATCTTTGCCTTATGTATCAAATATCTGGTTATAATGTCTCTCACCAGTTCAACAAACATATTGTCATCCTACATTTGTTCTGAAACAGTGAAACATGAGTGAATCCCATTTAGTTGGGCCAAACCCTTACTCTAGGCCCATTATTTTGATTAACCTAACAAAAACATGAAAAGGCCTTTCTTACACGTACATCGTTCCATGTGACCTAGTATGTACAAACGGTCATTATCATTATTCATTCATTATGACTTTTTCTTATCCAGACATTCAGATCTCCAAGAAAAGATCTTTAGCTCTGTGGTTCATAATCCAAAAATGGCTAAGACAGGGGAAAGCTTGAGAGACAAACCTAGATGGAGTCTTGTAGGCATGACCGCTCTTGTTACGGGTGGCTCCAAAGGCATCGGGTCAGTCCAATTTCTTCTACATTACCTAATACCTACTTTCTTACTAGTTCAATATTGAATCTGAGCTCTCATATCAATTCCAGATTTGTATGGATCTTTGATTTTATTTCGATGTTTAATCAACACATCCCCGGGAAAATGACAATAGCTTGGTAATCTATATGTGTGCTATGACCTATGAATAGAGAAGCTGTGGTGGAGGAACTAGCTATGTTAGGAGCAAGAGTTCACACATGTGCCAGAGACGAAACTCAGCTTCAAGAAAGCTTACGTAAATGGCAAGCAAAAGGGTTTCAGGTTACCACTTCTGTCTCCGACGTTTCTTCTCGTGACCAACGAGAGAAACTCATGGAAACCGTTTCCACTACCTTCGAAGGAAAACTCAACATCCTTGTAAGTACATATATACACTTTGATCCATATAGGAAGTGATTTTGTTGTGTTTTCTTATGTTTTTGTTTTGGATCTATATATAAGGTTAACAATGTGGGAACGTGTATAGTCAAACCGACCGTAAACTATACAGCCGAAGATTTCTCATTTACGATGGCTACGAATCTCGAGTCAGCTTTTCATCTCTCACAGCTCGCGCATCCTTTGTTGAAAGCTTCTGGTTCAGGGAGCATCGTGCTAATCTCCTCCCTGTCTGGAGTTGTACATGTCAATGGTGCATCCATCTATGGAGTATCTAAAGGTATATCTTCATGTATCTATTTTCAAACAATTAATGATGCATCGGGTTCTGAGACTTACGACATGTAAGTGTATTTTTAGGAGCTATGAATCAGCTAGGAAGAAACTTAGCATGCGAGTGGGCAAGTGACAACATAAGGACTAATTCTGTGTGTCCATGGTTCATAGAAACTCCTTTAGTTTCCGAAGTAAGGCAATAAATAAGAGAATTAAAAGTTATGTATATTGTTACTTCTCAATTTTAATTTACAAGTGAAAATCTCTCAGGTTCTTAGTAATGAAGAGTTTAGAAGAGAAGTGGAGAGTAGGCCACCGATGGGACGCGTTGGAGAAGTAAATGAAGTATCATCGCTTGTGGCATTTCTCTGTCTACCTGCAGCTTCTTATATAACTGGTCAAACCATTTGCGTTGATGGAGGTTTCACTGTTAATGGTTTCTCTTTTCAAGCCTCTGCCTAATGAATTAAGACTTCAATTGTTTCTGTTTTTTACATGTTGAGTGTATTCTATCTAAATAAACTCACAATTATAGTTTCTTAACCGAAGTTTCTTGTATAATCATCAACACAAACGCTAAATGCCTACGAAAGAATAGTTGTTAACTACTCCTTCTGTTTCTTAAAGAATGATCTTTTGGATTTTTCACACAATTTAGAAAAAAAGTAAAATTTATATTTTTATTAATTTTTTGTTAGTTTAATAATATTAATTATACTTCTTTCCTCCCTCTCTAATAATGATGTCCTTACAAAACATCAATCTTTGTGGATCAAGATAAAAAAACCAAAACATCAAACTATGAGGAACAGAGGGAGTAGTTTTTTGTTTGGCGTTTGCCTTTTCTATTTTGCAGAAATATTTTAGAATTGTTTTGTAATTTTGTGAACTTGTTTACACATCTAAACATAAACACAGTTACACAGACAAACAAACAAAAGTTAGCGTTGATTGATTTATCCACCAATCTTCTTAAATTTTCTAGACATTGAATTGAACCATAAGTAATAAATTAAGTCATTAAAGCAGTCCCAACCACCCACCAAACGGAAGAGATGAATTTCTATCTTAATTAAGAAGTTAAGACGAGATGTGTTGATGTTGATGGAACTAGCTTCCGCGTATGCAAATTAGTCGTGTTGACGTTTCATGTTTGTTTGTATTCAAGTGAGTGACTGGGGCATGTATCAGAGTCCTCGACATTTTTATGGAAAACTTGAGCTGATCTTATGTAGTTGGGTAACCTTAGGCTCATTATTAAAGTACTCGACCGGCTAGAGTGGTCCAACCATCCATTTTCTAAATATTGTGAAAAAAAAAAAAAAGCATTTCCTACACATTTGGATCGTTACGTGTGGTCTTGGTCTAGTATGTATGAACGGTCTATAAATTTATCTATACAGAAATAGAAATAAAAATCTATATATGAATAGATATCTTCTCTGTGGCTGATAACCAAAAATGGCAAAGAGAGGGGAAAGCTTGAGAGACAAACCTAGATGGAGTCTTGAAGGCATGACTGCTCTTGTTACCGGTGGCTCCAAAGGCATCGGGTCAGTCCCAATTCTTCTACCTTATCTACTACCATTCTAGTTCAGTACTCAAACAGAGATCTGCTGATGTCAATCTTAGATTTCTGTGGATCTTTTGATAGTATTTCTATATATGTTTAACCAACCCAACCCCTGAAAAGTTGAAGGGCTTAATGATATGTATAAACTCATATTGATGTATAAATAGAGAAGCTGTGGTGGAGGAACTAGCCATGTTGGGAGCAAGAGTTCACACATGTGCCAGAGACGAAACTCAGCTTCAAGAACGCTTACGTGAGTGGCAAGAAAAAGGGTTACAAGTCACCACTTCTGTTTGCGATGTCTCTTCTCGTGACCAGCGAGTGAAACTAATGGAAACTGTTTCCTCTCTCTTCCAAGGAAAACTCAACATCCTTGTAAGTGTGTGTCTATATATAAGCTTCTCCTTCTCCTCAGAGCTTGGATACACAATGACCAAATCATGTTTGTTTGGGTGTATATAGGTACCCAATGTGGGAACGGGTGTGGTAAAGCCGACCACAGAGTTTACAGCAGAAGAGTTCTCTTTTATAATAGCTACAAATCTGGAGTCAACTTTCCATCTCTCGCAACTCGCGCACCCTTTATTGAAAGCCTCTGGTTCAGGGAACATTGTGCTCATGTCTTCCGTTGCCGGGGTTGTAAATTTGGGTAATACATCAATCTATGGAGCAACCAAAGGTATACATATACGCATACTCAAACGATTGATGATTCTTTGCTTCTATTGAGACTTATTTAATTGTATACCCGCATTCTAGGAGCCATGAATCAACTGGCGAGAAATTTGGCATGCGAGTGGGCGAGTGATAACATAAGGGCTAACTCTGTTTGTCCATGGTTCATCACAACTCCATCAAGTAAAGATGTAAGAAAAAGAACAAAAATAAACTCCATTTACACTATGGAAAAAATGACTTAACTATTTCTAACGAAGTTTATGTGAAAATGTTTCAGTTTCTTGGTGATAAAGATGTAAAAGAAAAAGTGGAGAGTGTGACACCAATGAGACGTGTTGGAGAGGCAAATGAAGTATCATCGCTTGTTGCATTTCTCTGTCTTCCTGCAGCTTCTTATATAACAGGTCAAACCATTTGCGTTGATGGAGGTTTCACTATTAACGGCTTCTCTTTTTCTTAAACACGTTTATATATGCTTAAATTTTTATGTGATTTGTGTTTTAATCTATACAAGTTATATAATTTCTTGGGTATATGGACGATTAGAATTCAGATTGCGTGAAGCTTAAATTTGTATCTCGTGCATATATAAATAAATTCGACGAGATGTCGAGATGAGGACACAAATGCCTTTGCAAATGATAAATTTGTTTTATAATTGTTCATATTGCCATCACAACATAGCTGATTACTGTCATACATAAAATAATGATTCTCTGGAATCTCAAGACAATAATAATAAAAAAATTAGATATAAGTTCATCTGTCATATATATTAAGGCTTTCTTCGATAACGTGTCTACTATCTAGTGACAAAAACATAAATTATCAGCACTAACCTTGTTAGGTTTGATCTAAACTTAGGTTATTCATGTAATCAAATATGAAAACTAACGTAATGAAATTCCTCAAGTAATTAAAAAATACAGAAAACAAAACCTACCTTGCGAGGAAAAGCAATCGTGGCGCGAAAGGAACTTCCTATAATCTCCGCTGTGTCAATTTGATTGGACCACGAATCTCGCACTCGTTACTAACGCTTACGAGGATTATTTATGTATTAATAAAAAGAATTTAAAAATTGTTTCTGAAGAGGCAGGATTTGTGTATAAAATAGAGAATACAAGTAACGTGTAATGACATTATTTCTCTAATCGAATGGTTTATTAACTTCTGAAGTAACCTAAACAAGATTCAACAGTTCTTGAAACATCGGATAAAGAGTTTTTGTTCTTCTTGAAATACAAAGCAAAATCCATTTGAAGAGACCGGAGTTTTAGTTTTTTTGTTGCCCGGATATGGCGGATATATGTTACGAAGTGGTGACAGACGCATCTCCGTCGTCGGTTTATGGATCAACGCGGCCACATTCGCGGCGGAGGCAGAGGTTTCAGACGGTGTTGCGTGAAGATTGGGAGAAGAATTGTAAGCGTAGTAAACAAGAGGGTTTAGCTACAAGATGTTCCTCTATTTCTCAAAGCTCTCAGGATGATTTCTCTGGGAGTAAATTACTTAAAACGAAAACGGTAAGAGGTAATGTCGACGTGTCCGGCGAGTCTCCAAGATACGGTGTATCTTCTGTTTGCGGTAGAAGAAGAGAAATGGAAGATGCGGTGGCGATTCATCCTTCGTTTTCTTCTCGGAAGAACTCGGAGTATCCTCAACACTACTTTGGTGTGTATGACGGTCATGGTTGTTCCCACGTACGAAGTCGTTTTCATGCAACCTCCTTTTGTTCAAAATTCTATATTTTCAGTTTTAGCTTATACGACATCGTTTTTTTTTGTCCTTAGGTTGCAGCAAGGTGTAGAGAGAGGCTTCACAAGCTGGTGCAAGAAGAACTAAGCTCAGATGGGGAAGAGGAAAAAGAATGGAAAACGACTATGGAGCGTAGCTTTACACGCATGGATAAGGAAGTTGTGTCGTGGGGTGAATCCGTCGTGAGTGCAAATTGCAAGTGTGATCTACAATCACCAGCTTGTGATTCCGTTGGATCAACGGCCGTTGTCTCAGTCATTACGCCGGATAAGATTGTTGTTGCTAATTGCGGTGATTCTAGAGCAGTTCTTTGCCGAAATGGAAAACCGGTCCCTTTATCAACCGATCACAAGGTCAGTTTCATTCAGTGGCGGAGCCAGAAATTTTGTTTATAGAGGTCATAAAACATTTAAAAAATTAGGCCTTAAAAAAAAACTTAAAATATTTCATATTTCATCTTTCAAATTAAAAATATTCGCGGTTTATCTTTTTAGTTGTATCATCAAAACTTTTTTTTGTTAAATATATTATATATATATTGTGGAGATTGATTAGTTGGTTTTTTTAATCTTGATTCATGACTTTTAAGAAAAAAATATTTTAAGAACAATGTTGAAAAGAATGTAGAAATTAAAACAGTATATGTCTAAAAAGAAGAAAAAAAATCGATATGTTTATAGGTTTTTTTAAGAAGAAAAATAATTATAGATTTTTAGGTAAACCAAAATGTAAAAGGACATTAAGATTAAATGACAAAATGAATATGCATGGGGTCAAAGATAAGAATATATCACATAACATAGGGGTCATTGTGAATACTTTAACCCAAAACATAGAATTATTGTAGAAGATTACCTTATAATTTAAAAAATCTAAAAATGTTATGGGGGTCAACTGACCCCCCTAGTTGTACGTTGCCTCCGCCACTGGTTTCATTCAAAACATTTTAAGTTTCAATTAAGTAATGATTGGAATGGTGTATTAACTCGGAGATTGTGTTCTTTTTAATGAAACACAGCCTGATCGTCCAGACGAATTGGATCGAATCGAAGGAGCTGGTGGACGAGTCATATACTGGGACTGTCCGAGAGTTTTAGGGGTCTTAGCAATGTCACGAGCAATAGGAGACAATTATTTGAAACCTTACGTGAGTTGTGAGCCGGAGGTAACCATAACGGACAGGACAGACGACGACTGTCTCATACTAGCTAGCGACGGTTTATGGGATGTTGTGTCAAACGAGACCGCCTGCTCTGTAGCGCGTATGTGTCTTCGTGGTGGTCGGAAACGGGAAGGTAGTGAGGATCCGACGATCTCGCACAAGGCATGTACGGAAGCGTCTGTATTGCTGACGAAGCTGGCGTTGGCAAGGCACAGTAGTGACAACGTCAGTGTCGTAGTGATTGATCTCAGAAGAAAAGGACACGTCAATGGACACTAATCGAAGACACACCTCTTTAACTTTCTCTTTTTCAGTTTTGCTTTTTGGTTGTTCTTGGAATGCGTGGTTGTATACAAATTAACCCGATTTTGTGGAAAACCGAACAAGGTTAATCAATACTTGATAGAAATGATTATTTTTTTCTCTTCTCAACCCTAATCGTATTTCGTGTAATGATTATCAAATTAAGTCAAATCAAATTACAAGAAGGTCGACATGTAAAGGCATTTTGCTTTTAAAAAAATTGTAAGATTATTCCTAAAAGAAAAAACCAGTACTTGAAGAGGTACTTAGATCATATGTTCTAAGCAGAGTCTAAAGAATAAGAAAACCAGTAAGCAGTAGTAATAGTCAAATACAAACAATGGGCACTTAAAAGATTCAACATCGAATCGAGTTAAGACTAGCAGCTTTGATTGTACAAACACAAATTGTTGCAAACAATGTTGTTCTTATGACTAAAGTTGAGGAAATTGTAGAGACAAAACAGAAGAAAGAAGAGTTTTTGAGAACAAGACCTCTCTCTCGGGAAATCGAATTTCACGTTTCTTTTAGTGCCTTCAGTTTTCTGTAACCTTTGTCGGTACCAAAGATCCTGAAGTAACATAGAGAAACAAATTTACATGTTTTAGTTACGACTTCTGTTAAAGTAAGAAGAGGAGTTCAGATATATACCAGTCCATGTATACAAAAGTTGATGAGTAGTTGCCAGACTTTGTGTAGAGTAATCGATGATGATAGTCATGGAAGTCAGCACTGCAAGCAAATTATTGTACAATCATTCATGTTAATGATCTGATAGATTTTAGGTGCGATTGTTCCTTCAAGAAGGCTACAAAGTAGATGTTTGATCTTACCCGCCGTACAGAGGAAGAAAATTCGAGGGGCTCCATGGGAAATGATAACCACAATGTGCCTCAACTGTCTCAATAACTCTGAGCATCATCCATAACCAGAGGGTGATCAGGTGAGGCCCGGTGAGAGCCGGACCAACAATGGTAGCAAAACCCAGGAACAGAATCTCAGCGGGGTGAGCATATTCTGATGTCAAACCAAACGGTGTGGCGTATCTGTAAATAAGTAATACCATAAGATTGTTTATTGAGGACCGTGATGGACTAATATTGTCAAGCACAAAAAACAAAGATGGTGAGTACTGAAGCTTACTCATGATGCACACTGTGCACGTTCTTGTACAGCCATTTAGTATGCAAGATCCTGTGACCCCAATAAAATACAAAATCCTCAATGATGAAGTAGAATAAGATCTGGGCAGACACCACTTTCCTGCAAGAGCATCACCAAATATGATATCATAAACCAGATCAAACATAATTCAGGTTCTTCTCATGCAGCTCAACACTGACATTTTATATACATTTATATATATTGCCCATTGGAAGAGTTTAACATCAGAACCCAAAGGCAAAAAAAGCTTCAGCACTAAAGAACCTGATAATACCAGGACGGCAAAGGAAAACTACTCTGCATGCCCATGAATCTGAAGACAGGATAAGACGCCATCATGAGGGGCAAGTTTACGCAGAAATGGTAAAGCAATAGTCGAGCGATGCATTTTCCTTGTGCTTCAGGAGTATTATTTTTTGTCTGCAGAAGACCAAACAAGAGTAGTTGTTTAATATAAAAAAGAAGCTAAACCAGTTATCACATTGACATTATCATTGGGGAAATGAGAACACTGATTACTTGGTGATCTCTTTTCATTCAATTTATATTTGAAAAGAAAGACACACAAAGCTATTAGATAAAAGACCCTTGAATCATGAGAAGAAAAGACAAACCTGAATTTTGTAACTGCTGAGAAAACCGGTCCTTTCTAGGAAAATGTAAGGGAGTCCAGACAAGAAAAACACACTTTCATGAAGGATAAAACTCCCAATGCACGCCAGTTGAAAGTCGCTGAAATGTGTAACAAGGTACTGCATCATCACCAACAATAAGGTGTCAGTAACAGAGCTACAACTTTCGAGCTAAGAGCAAAACAAGATTGCCAAAGGGAAAGAGAAGAAACATGTTTAATTCCACGAAATATCAATCTGAAAGCAATCAAATAAAACACCATCCCCATCAACACCAAGGAAGACCTATTGCTTATCAGCATGTATAACAAAAACTAAAATCCTCAAAGCAAAAATCCAAAACAGTAATCATTTAATTATCGACTTTGCTTACAATCACTAATCAAAATCCGTTCGTGTGGTCTAATCAACTAATTGTTAAGGTCCACTCAAATTCCAAAAAAAAAACTGAGATCACATTCGTAATAACTAATAATCTGGAACAAGAACAGTCAAAAGCCAGATCTGAAACCACAAAGAAATCGACACGAAACCAAACCAATCTCAACACAAAAGGGACCACAACAATCCAATGCGATGGACCACAAACAAAATCAACCTAACACGGCTCCAGTACCTATACTTGTATCATAAATGCAGTACACTGAAGTCGGCAGAGACGGAGAAGTAAAACACGATGAAATCTCTGAAAACACCAAACAAAACCAAAATCTGGCAAACAAAGGTAGGAGATGAAGCAAGCAATACGGAGATGGAGAAAGTACCTTCCAACCAGATTCAACGAGAGAATCCATGGTTACCAGAAATCTGAAAACACGATGGATCTCTGCGGCGGAGATAGGCAGAGTGTGTGTGAGAGAAAGAGAGAGCGAGAAGCCAAAAACTGTGTGACAAAGAGGAATCTGATTTGGCTGTTTCTGAGACCACTCTTTTATTCTTCTCTGTTCTCTCCATCACACGTGCACACACATGTTTCATTATTGTCCTTAATAACTTGATACTTTTACTTTAGCACCATATAGTTTTACATGTGACAATTGGCAATCTTTATGGTGGTGAAGAGACTAAAAAAATGTAAAGTTTTGAATTTGGGTTTTTATAATTAAATAGAGAGTACAAATGAGAATCTAATATTATTTCAGAGACAAGACTAATAAAAACACACACATTTTAGACAAAGATGGATGTGAGAGATGATAAAATCAGAAGAGACTTTTGAGTTGTTCCTCTGTTTGAGACCTTCTGTGTCAACAGCTACATGTCTAATGCTCTATTATCAGTACCATTAACGTCCCAATTGAGCAGTTTCTGTCTCTAGAAACTCTCCCCAGTTTATAGAGCTGCAGTATATTATCAAATACCAAAAGGATGATCAAAAGATGAGCCACAAAAGAACTTTCAGCATACAGTGACCAAACCTCGATGATTAGCACATTAATTTTTGTCCTTGATGACAGATTATAAGCAACATAAGCTAATTTCACACAGAAATGTAGAAGACGAAGAGAAGAAAACTTTAATAATGGCAACTAATAAATTGCCCTAGACTTTTCAAATCTATTGTGTGATTTTTGAACACACAAAAAGCAGGATAGCTTAAAGATTATACATGTTTTCCATTTCACTTTCTTGAGGCTGATATATATGTAATTATGTACTACACAGACTAAAAGCTAGATACGGTGAACAAGCTAAACATGAAGCAGAGAATGTAGAACCAGGGTTACACAAATGTGGTGCTACCATGACATAAAATGAAGTTTTTTACCTTTTCGAGAATTGTTAATTTGAAGCATGGTTGTCACTGGATAATGGTTGTCATAGAAAAGGCGACTTCTTTTCTGATGGTTTTAGAATTTGGAATGAGCACATTAAGCTCTCATCAATGCTCATCATTGCACCAGCGTTGTCAAATTCCCCGCAATAGTTGGGAGCTGAAAATACTGTAACAAGCTGTCTGTCTGCAAAGAACTCATACCCATCTTCAACAACCTAAAATAAGAGAGTCAAAACACTCAGATTAAGGTTGCACAGTGTTCATAATAAACTCAATGACAGATATAACTCGAGTAAAAACCTGGTGGGCACGACAGATAAGGTCCATGTCATTTTTTTCCAAAAACTCTGCGACTTTGTCAGCTCCAAAAGTGTATGAAACACCGCGATCGTTCATGCCCCAGCCTTTGACGTCTCCACTAGGATCCGACCACAGTAAATCACATACCAAACCAGAGTCTGGAATATCCATTGGACGTGCAATATTCCTAATCTGGTCCAAACTTGTCAACTCTGGGGAAATCCCACCATGCATACATAGTATTCTGTCATCAATTAAGGCGGCCACAGGAAGACAGTTAAAGCAATCAGTGAATATTTTCCAGAGTCTGACATTGAACCTGCGTTTGCACTCGTCATAGAAACCGTAAATACGATTAATGGAGGCAGATTCATGATTCCCTCTCAGCAAGAAGAAGTTCTCAGGGTACTTGATTTTGTAAGCTAGGAGAAGACATATTGTTTCCAAGCTTTGCTTGCCACGGTCAACATAATCACCTAAGAATAAATAATTGGCTTCGGGAGGGAAGCCTCCATACTCAAACAGCCTCAATAGATCTGAATACTGCCCATGAATATCACCTATAAAGTAAAAGACAAAAAATAACCATTACATCTAAGAAAACATGGCATATAAGATACTAGTCAACATTAAGCTTTTGCAGGAAATGTTTTATCAGACCCATTCAAAACACATAACTTGACTAGTCAACATTAAGATAAAAGAATCAAACCTCATAGAACCAGTCAAAACTCTTAATCCTTAGACTTTTAGTAATAAAAATTCCCACTTTATACCACCCATTCGCTTAATTTCATTGTTCTGAACTCAAAAGACAATCAAAATCTCACATTTCTTCAGTCACTTAATGCTCAAACTTACAACCTAAAGTGTGACCTACCTACAGCTCACAAAGAGCTCATGGATTTTCAAGATAAACATAGTTTTAAGAATTCAATTCATTACTACTAAACAAATCTTAATACTTAATCACAACATGCACTAAATTCACCACTACAAATCAATCAAAAACACTATTTTAACCAAAGGGAACAAAAAACTGACCGCAGATCTTGATGGGAGCTTCCAATTCAAGCAGATTAGGTTGTTGAAGAAAGATTTCTTTGGAGACAGCACAAAGCTGACGAATTTCACCTTCACTGAGATGAACTTGCTTCCCCGATCCAGGTCTCGTGTTCCGAAACTCAACCAAACGACGAATGATATCGTCGAGAACAGCCGGTTCCATCGCTCGCTTTTGCTCTTGCTCTTGCGTCGGCTTCTCCGCCATCTCCGATCTAAAAGAGTTGAACGGAGATTTTCAAGCGTGAAGCTTTTTGCTTTGGCGTTGGAGCCGCGAGGAGGAGAGAGACCTGAAGTCTGGTGTGCTCTGAGATTAGTCAATTTTGATTGATTGGTTCATTTTTATTTTTAGTTGTATTTCTTTATTATTACGTAGTGGAATCAACCTAATGGGCCTTGTATATGGGCTTTCTTCTAGAAGATTCCTACATGCAAATTTCCAAACGGTAGAAAACTAATTCTAGCCTCGCCACCGCGACCCGCGACAGCTATCAGTAATAACGATTGTCAGTGGTATTCACTATTCACTATTTAGTACTCCCTCCGTTTCAGTTTAGTTGTCGTTTTAGGATTTAAATTTTGTTTCATAATAGTTATCGTTTTAGGTTTTCAATGCAAATGTTTGGTGAAAATTCCAATTTTATCCCTACTGTTTTAATGTTTTGGCCAATAAAATTTTTTATAAAATATATTAATAAAGGGTAAAACAGAAAATTTAATGCTTTCTTAATTTGTGTGAAAAAACCTTAAACGACAACTAAAACGAAACGGAGGGAGTAGTAATGATCGGAAATAGCAATCAACATGTTTTGTTGTTTGTTTAACAGTCGTCGAGAATGATCAACGACCATTAATAACAATCAACTGTTATTCGTTTTCGTAATTAAGTGATAGATTGATAAACTTAATTAGCGACTAATAAATGAAAACACTTAAATTTTCAACGATTTAAATTTTGGATTAGTAACTGCCAATTTGTACCTGAAATATATTGTTACCATCATCAACAACTACAAAACAAACATGATTTAGTGCTTGATAGGTGATAGCTAATAGAATCACTATCTGGTAGATGTCTAATTAACATGTATGTGTGTGTATGCAATACCATTCTTTTGTTAAAAAACACCAATTCTTGTTCTTACATGCTAAGTGCTAACTAATAATAACCAAGTATTTTGATATATCATTAAAGAAAACAAGTAAATAAATTATATCAACGTGGACAAATTACATCACCTAACGGTCCTAAACTAAGTTTAAAATAATATTGATGTAACTTCATAATTGATTTATATAATGAAAGAAAACAAAGAGAAGAAAAAACAACACGCTAAAGATCAAAGAACATTAGTTGAATGAATCCTTATTTTGAACAAAGAAGAGTCAGTCCATTTTGTTCACCCGAAACGCAAACGCCACCTTTACATGGTAATACAATCATACAAATCTCATACACAATAAAAGAAACACAAAATCACCAAAACAAAATCTTTATATTTATTTCTTTTTCCTACATTCTCCTTATTAAAGAAAAAGATTATTCTTCTTCACCCGTCACAAGCCACAACGACTTATTTTAGATTCCCATACAAAAAAGAAAATTCCCCATCTATAAACATCTCCTCCCATATTTGTTGGATCATCCTTAATTGCCTGTGTTCATGTCTTTATATCTCTAACCATAACATAAAAAATAATGAAAAAATTCAAGATTTCTAAAGAAGACAGCTCTGGAACTCATATACGTTTTGCCTCTCCATCTGATTCTCAGGTTTGTTTCTTGTCATAAAAGAAAATGGGTTTATTCAAATCTTTAATCATAAAAAATCCAAAAGAAAGAAGATCAAAATGTTGTTTTAGCTCTCTAATGAAAGATTTTGTAACGTATAAACAGCTTATGGAATTGGAGCAAATCCGCATTTTGAAACCTGATGATGACGAAGAAATGGAGTCACCATCACAAACAGAGGAAAATTTAGGTGTGGTTCCTCTGTCTTGTGCGTTTACGAGACAAGAACATTGCGTTTCCGAGACGAAAGAACGCGAAGAATCGATTAGAAGACTAAGCAGCCTTATTTTTCTTTACCTGATCGTTATGTCTGTACAGATTGTGGGAGGTTTTAAGGCAAATAGTCTTGCGGTTATGACGGATGCTGCACATTTGTTGTCGGATGTGGCGGGTTTGTGTGTCTCTTTGTTGGCCATTAAGGTCTCGAGCTGGGAAGCGAATCCGAGAAACTCGTTTGGGTTTAAACGGCTTGAAGTTTTAGCGGCGTTCTTGTCTGTTCAGCTCATATGGCTTGTCTCTGGAGTTATCATCCATGAAGCCATTCAAAGACTAGTTAGTAGAAGCAGAGAGGTTAATGGAGAAATCATGTTTGGGATTTCGGCTTTCGGGTTTTTCATGAACTTGGTTATGGTCCTTTGGTTAGGACATAACCATAACCACCACCACCACCACCACCACCACCACCATCAACATCATCATCATCAACATCATCACAAGGAGGTGATGGCCGAAGAGGAGGAGGAGGAAATGAATCCTTTAAAAGGTGAGAAATCGTCGTCAAAGGAGATGAACATTAACATACAAGGAGCTTACCTTCACGCGATGGCTGATATGATTCAGTCACTAGGTGTTATGATCGGTGGAGGTATCATTTGGGTTAAACCGAAATGGGTTTTGGTTGATTTGATTTGCACTCTTGTTTTCTCTGCCTTTGCTCTTGCTGCTACTTTACCAATGCTCAAGAACATATTTGGAATACTGATGGAGCGGGTACCGCGTGATACGGACATAGAGAAGCTCGAGAGAGGACTTAAGCGTATCGATGGAGTTAAGATTGTTTATGATCTCCATGTATGGGAGATAACAGTTGGGAGAATCGTATTATCGTGTCATATCTTACCAGAGCCTGGAGCTAGTCCTAAAGAGATCATTACTGGTGTTAGGAATTTCTGTAGGAAGTCTTGTGGGATTTATCATGTAACTATTCAGGTTGAATCAGAGTAGCTGAAAGGAGAGAGTTTCTTTTGTATGTTGTTTGCTTGAGAACATCTTTAGATAGAACAAGAAAGGAAATTTTAAATTTTCCTGTTTGAATATAGAAAACATCTTAAAATTGCTAAACTTTTTAACAGAGAAATCCTAAAGACAACACAAGAACTGACAATGAAATCTCTATAGACAAAACCAGACACAACAAGAACAGACAATGACATTACAACAAGAAGCTCAGAGTTCCCAACTATTTGTCTAAAATTTGGGAACTGTGAGCTTAATGAACCCACAGGACTTAGTCATTCAAACAAGAACACATTAACCTCATGCCTTCCTCATTCACATCTCAAGATTCAACACATTCTGATTGCTAAATTTTCAGATTTTCAGATTTTTTTTAAGATAAGTGTCACACAACATTAGAAATTAAGAACTGACAAAGACATCTCTGATTCACATCTCTTACAAACAATAATACAACAGCTTTCCTCATTCACATTCTAATTACTTAAATTTCAGATTTCAGAAAATTTTCTAAGAAAAGATTAACAAGAACCTCACAATTCCCAACTTTTTGTCTGAAATTTGAGAACTTTGACCTTAGTGATTCCATAGGACTTAGCAATTGAAACAAGAACAAAAGGACATGAAGGATCAAGCCACACACTAACTCCTCATTCACACCTCAAGTCTCAACACGTTCTAATTGCTAAACTTTCAGATTTTCAAACAAATTTCTAAGGGAAGTCTCACAACAACACAAGAACTGACAAAGACACATCTTTTACAGAAAATTATACAGAAGATTTTCTTCATTCACATTCTAATTGCTAAACTTTCAGATTTGAGACCAATTTCTAAGAAAAAAGTCTCACACACAACACAAGAACTGACAATGACATCTCTCTGTACAGACAATACCATACACAACAAGAAGCTTAATGGTCCCATAGGACTTAGCAATTGAAACAAGAACAAAGAGACATGAAGCCACACATATGGCCTTCCTCATTCACATCTCAAGTCTCAACACAATCTTATTGTCAAACTTTCAGATTGTCAGACAAATTTCTAAGAAAATTCTAACACAACACAAGAACCAACCAATGACATCTCTTATTCACATCTCTTGCACACAATAATACAACAACCTCACACTTCCCAACTATCTGTCTGAAATATAAGAACTTTCAGCTTAATGATCTCACATAACTTAGCAACTGAAACAAAGAACAAAGGATACATACTTTGATTATTAGAACTTCTATAATCCTTATCAAGCAGATTTGATATTGAGCTTCTCCATACGAGCTCTGATATACCTGAGATGCTCATCTTCAGGAGGAATACATTTCTTGATAACATCATTTCCCAACAAATTCCTAACCCATCTATGAATCTCCGGGAACTTCTCCACCGGAACAACCTTAACTCCGACGATCTCCTCCGTCCTCATCAACCAAAACGCCACCAACGTCGCCACAATATCCACAAACCCCAAACTTCTCCCTCCAAAAAAATCTTTCCCAACAAGCTCTTTCTCCAAAAACATCAACAAATCTCTCGTCGCTTCAACCACCGCATCTCTCTCTTCTCCGATCTTCCCCACCACTTTCATCGCCGTCACATAAATCTGAAACTCCGCAATAACCGGTTTTAAAAACCCGGTTTAAAAATCCAAAACCGGTTTACTGAAATTGAAAATCATACCTGTTCATCAACGAATTTAGCCCAGAATCGAGCCATAGCTCTCTCATACGGATCTTGAGGAAGAATCGGATTGTCTCTCCAAGTCTCATCAATATACTCAAGAATCACAAGTGATTCAGAAATCGGTTTACCATTATGAACAAGAACCGGAATCATTTTATAAACCGGGTTCAATTGAAGCAACAAAGAGCTCTTGTTAGTGATATCTTCCTCTGAGAATTCATACGAAACACCTTTAAGCGTTAGAGCAATCTCAATTCTACGGCTAAAAGGACTCGCCCACATTCCCAAAAGCTTCACTTCCTCTGAATCTGATCTCTCCGCCATTACTACCACTCTCTTGCTTTCGTTAGCTTCTTCTTCTTTATGACATTTATAAGAAAGAATTGTGACGTCAGCAGTGACGAACAGTTATAATAATTGCTACTTTGTCCCACATCGGAAGATAGAGAGTGAAGTTGAGTTGTTTAAATAAAGAAGACTTTGGTTAAATATGTTAAGGGGTGTGGGAACCTAGGAGTTGAGTCTGCTTATTGATTACTAAACCCTGAACCCTCTCATGTTTAACGATGAGAATTAATATTGGGGGTCTTTGGCCGGCGTTTCCCCCGAAAAATAATTAAAAAACGTCGATGATTACATAAGAGACTCGTCTCCAAAAAGTAGACCAATAGGTTGGGTTTGGTTCGTAGGTGGTTCTGTTGAAACTAGTTTAGTGTCTGCGGTTAACCGATTCCTCGCCTTACCCTCCCACCCCCAAATTTTTTGTTTCGATGATCAATGTTGACTCTCTGCATTCACTGTATAATCTTCACCATGTACTATATATTCTTATTCCAATCATATGCCGTCCATGAAATTTTATCAAAGCCAAAAGAGAAAAAGACACGTAATCTATATTATTAATTGGGAATCACTCAAAACTAACAAACCTTATTTCCGTAGATTAATTACAATGAATGCCATTAGAATTATTGAATTTAAAAAAAACAAAAGAAAAAAATTCGAAAAAATAATTCAATATATATATATATATATATAGATTTTGTTGAGCATTTTTCTTTTGGTCAAAAATATATATTCAAAAAGTATATATTTATTTCGTTGGAGAATTAACAATATATATTCAAAAAGATTTTTCTGTCTTTTCTATCCAAAAATCAAACAAACTAAATTTACTGTTATGATTTAATAATGTTTCCATAACAATTGATAATAATAAATTCGAAATAATAAAAATAGAAAATACAACTGTTTACGATTAAATCAAATCTTAAATTAGTTTACGAAATCATATCACAACAGTTATTATACTTGCCAAATATAACTCTAATTATAGATACTTTAATATTGAAACTGACTTTTTGAACGGGATGGATGAGAATTCCTAAAAAAATATCGTATAACATATTACAATTAAAATAAAACATTGCTTGCAATCATATATTTAAAATGTTTCTTTCAATTTATCTAGCATAGCATGTGCCAAATAAAAAATTTTGGGACGGGTAAAGTTTATTTCGTGATGGAAATTTTGGGAAATTTGTGTATTTTCTAAAACATAATAGTGAAATATTGAGAAAATAAAGAAAATATGGATAACTTCAACTAATTATGTAAAAATTAAATACCTAAACGAAAATACATAAAATACGGGTATTCCATCCGAATCCTAAACCTACACGATATACAATCACGAACGAGTAAATTAACGCTTATGTGATTAAATATGTGTGGTAGATATGTGACCATACGGATTTTCTGTCTCAAAATTGATATGTCTATTTTCTCTCTCTCTTTTTAATTATGTAATTGTCTTTACGGTACTGTAACCAAAAACAAATCCGATTAATTATTTTGTCTAAACCAAATTGAAACTAAACCGAATACCAAACTGATATGAGGTAGGATAGTGAATGTTATACCAAATAAATACATCTACAAACATAACCCCGCACGAACGTGCGGGTCCGAATCTAGTATTAATTAATGAAGAAGCTAGAAATCGAAGTAACCTCAATGGAGATGTAATTTATATATAAAGTGGGATCTCAAAACCAATTTATAGAAATAGCTAAATAGTTGTGATTTTTATTAAAATTTCTTCATTGTATAACTCAAAAACATAAACACACAAACACTCCCAAATTTGAATTTGAGTTATAATCCATGCCGGCGGTATTAATAACGCCGTAAATCCGCCATCTTAGATAGGTGAATTATGATGTAGTGACTCTTTTTAGTTTAATATAAATCTAGAAAATATACAGCGGGATTTAATTAACATAATCCAGGATTTGATCCAATTATAAACCCTAGCTAGACAAAAACATAAACCCAAAAGAATGAAAAAAAATTTATACCAAAAAAGGAACAAAGCCCTAAAGAGCAATATCGACGATTCACTATTCCTCATTGATGTCAGTGCCATAGAGATTCAATACCTATTAGTAGTTTCGTAGTCTTCTTCGAGATTACGTGAGGAGAATAAATTTTAATGGAAGATTTAGCGCAATCACGTCTCTTAGGCTTTTTTTTCAATAATCGCCTCATGATGTTCTTCTTAAACCTCGTCCGCTTACCAAATTTAATCGACTTTATGAGCAATTCTTCCTTTTGGTTATCTTCTTACTGATTAATAATCCAAACTTTATCAGTTCTAAATTATCTATGTTATTGAGAATTTCTTTTACTAATATCAGACGAGAGAGTATATGAGATGTTTATCGATATATTAGTAGTGCACCTTTTTGAGGAATTATACTCTTACTATATTGTGAGTATGAAATAGGAAAGACTTATCATTTATGAAAACGTTTTCAAAAATATTTCAATCGTCATTTTTATAATTGTTGTGGCTGTCGAACAAATGTGTTAGCAATGTGTTTGCATTGTTGGTGTTATTCTCTTAATGCAAATACATTGCTAACACATTTGTTTGATGGCCACAATAATTGTAAAATGAGGATTATAATATTTTTGAAAACGTTTTCGAGAACTCTTTGGTAATAAATATTTTAGATCAATGACTTTTTTTTCATTTCAAGGTCTATTTATGATTGAATATGTATTATTTTCATTCACTATTACAAATTTGGAGCAAATAAAGTGATAAATCTTTCTTATTTCATACTTACAATATAGTGAGACTATAATATTCCAAAAAGATGCACTACTAACATATCAATAAACTTCCCATATACTTTCTTCTCTGATATTAGTAGAAGAAATTCTTTTGATATTTTTTTGTCATCTTGATTTAGATAATTTATACTTGATATGTTTTCTAAACTATGAGAGAGCCATAGATTATTTTGGGCTATTCTTTATCCAGATTTAATTATATAGTTTCTTGTTTTTTAATATTAATTTGCAAGAAATCTAGTTTAATTTACTATTTTCTCATCTTA